TTTATTATCATTTAATATATCTTTTACTCAATTTTGGTTGGTTGATTTACCTGCAGTTAACTGGGTGCAAATAACACTCTGAGCATGCGCATTTGTAAAAAACGTGGCTCAGCTACAAATAATACTCTGAGCATGCACATTCATATCAATTTTTTAAACAGTGGCGACTCGCTTTACCGAACTATCAGAACAAATTAACATTAAACATTAGCAAAACTGAGTATAAATTATGCTTATTGGATCACGACAAAGGATGTCCCAAGTTAGTGCCGATCCAATCTTTTCACGGGGATCTGAGGGTATTAACCCTGTTTCATCCACCAAACCACTACGTGTGGTGGTAGATGATTGCATCACCTGGAAAGACCATGTTGATAAAGTGACAAAAAAGCTGCAAAAGGGATAGGAATGTTGCGTATATCTAAACACTTATTCGATAAAGATACGCTTAAAACCATTTTTAATGCTTACTTTTTACCTCATTTTGATAATTGTGCGCTAGTATGGAATAATTGCTCCAAAACCTTGCAACCAAAATTGCAAAAGCTTCAAAACAAAGCTGTTCGAATAATTAGAGGTGATTGCTACAGAACTCCCGCTGATATTTTTAGAACTAAGCTTTCATGGGACACCCAGGAGGCTAGGAAAGAGAATCAATTGGAGAATCAGTTTGAAAGTTTAATGACAATCAAATTACAATCCGTACCAACCACAAACGTATGAATTGTTCGACAAGTATGCTCCCCACTTGTCTGAGCCAATGCTTTAAAACGCAGTTTTAGTTATAAAGGGCTGCAATGTGGAACAATATCGAAAAAGGAAAATATAAATTTTAATGATGTTTCAGTTCCTCTTTAACTTTGTTAAGACACGGCCATCTAAAAATAAACCTTTTTATTTTTGCATATGTGTTAAATTTTACTATACTTAATGTGTAATCAGGTTTTTTTCTGATTGGTTGAGATGCGACCGTGTATAAATATTTGTAAATAAATAAAGCAGAATTGTCTTAATTATGCGTAGATAAAAATACAGAAATCAGCCATCAATGTTTTGTTAGTTAAACGAATCTGGTTTTTATTATCAGATGCTATTTTTGTGTAAGCTGTATAAATGAGTTTTCTTGGTTAAATAAAATATTGGGTCAAAAATTCCATGTACGTGTTTCTATAGTAATATTTTACAACGAACTCAAAATTGAAAGTTGAGTTGTGAATGATAAATCAATTATTCACTGCTTGCCACCGATATTTTGCTCGAAATCGTCTAATAATTGATTATTATCAGATACAAAATTTCAGCCAGTATCGTTTTGTTCTATCTTCTTCTGGTAATAAACATTAATTATTAAAATGCCCTATGTTCATTGTCCAATTAAATGTCATAATTTTTGCTCGTCCCAGACATCGCGCAGCACTTCAGTTTGTGACTGCAAACATGGCGAAACAAGAACATGGGGATTTAATTTTCCACGGATGGAGAAAGAGGATACGCCCAAAATTTTCCTACTCTTTCTATAGATGAGCACAATATTAATATCACATTTGAGAAATAGAAAAAATTTTCCGTGTTTCTGTACAGTTATAGAAACACGCGTGAGACTTTGCGAGAATGAGAAATAATCAGTGGGAAAACGAGACCGTAGGGCGAGTTTTCCACGTAATTTAGAGCTCTTCCAAACTCCCACAAGTGTTTCTATAACTGTATAGAAACACGGGGAAAAATGTTTTCTATTTCTTTTATTAATATAACTCAATAAAAAGATTTTGTACAAATATTATAATTCGATTCAATTCGATTCTCAGTACATTAATTCGATTCCCATTACATTACTTCGCTTGACAAGTTCGGCGGGAAAATTCCCGTGTTTCTATACAGTTATAGAAACACGCTTCTCGACCAATCAGCACGCGCGTACTATAAATGTTATATTGTAATTATTTTATAATATAACTCGATAAAAATATTTTGTACAAATACAGTGCAGGATTCAAGGAATTCTAAGTGAATGGTCCTTGCGAAATTTTCCTAACTAAAGAATTAATTTTAGTCTCCATTTTCCCTACATTGCGCAAAAAATTGAAGGTTTTATTTTGTTGGTTTTAGAATTCTTAAGCTATTGGTTAAACATTGAAAGGTTTGACAAGTACGTAGCTCTAAGTTCAAATATCATTATAATGGTAGCAAGAATCTAGCAAGAAACTTGAAAAAAGAATTATGAGACTTTTTTATTTTGAAAATGTCAGATTTTTACATGACTCGACACAAACATGATAAAAGGCTTCACTTAATTAAAAAAATAATGTTTAATATTGATTGGCACATTGAAATATATTCGTGGGGTACACGCAATTCCAACTAGCACACGCGCAACAAATTTCGCGGCTGTTAAAATGTTGTTGTTTTAATCTCTGTCCCCTGACACACCGCACTGGAGGCGACAACGGTACAGGTAGCTCATACATATAATAACAAGAAGCAATTAACATGCGTCAAGTCTCTTGTTTCTTCCTCTGTAGATATTTTATTCCGGGTTAAAAAGTATTGAATAAATATAGCGAATACTTGTCCTAAACTTTTACCCACTTAGGGTACGCCTATCCCCTTACCTGTGTTTTATTCCCTCACCCTTGTTTTATTCCCTCCTCCGTGTTTTATTCCCTCACCCTTGTTTTATTCCCTCCTCCGTGTTTTATTCCCTCCTCCGTGTTTTATTCCCTCACCCGTATTCTATTCCCTCACCGTGTTTTATTCCCTCATCCGTGTTTTATCCCCTCATCCGTATCCGTCTCGTACGTATCCGCGTTTTATCCCTACCCGTTCACGGTGAGCCGAGAACCGCGAGGGGCAGACAACAATGAACATTTCTCATTGATCTTTCCCGATGTATGGAAATTTTGGCCGTGAAAATTGAAGCATGAAATGTAAACTGTAAAAACATGTAGAGTTTTCTTTTAAATGTGACTTCAAGTTTGCCGCTTTCGGTCACCGGTTTGCCGGCAACCTCCATTTTAATGTCTTTATTTGACAAATCTTACATCGGCAAAGCCCTGCAGTAACGTTCCTGTAGCGTCATCCAGGAATCATGAATAATAATAGAGAGTTCAGTGAAATCATTGAAATCAATTAAAATGCCACGTTACAATGCATATTTCTAAATCACTTCAGTTTGTCATTCTAAAATACCAAGCGACTCATTACTCTCTTTCGATAAATTTTACATTCAACCAAAGACGAGGGGAAGCAATTTATTATAAACAAGTATATATCTATAAGGTAAGAAAATCATAACTTGATAATCTATAAACAGGTTTTCAATGTGCAAAGTCAAGCTAAGATTGTGAACAAATTACACCGTTAAGGCGATGAAAAGACTACACTCTACAGTAAAATCATGTTAGGAATATACTACAACACTACCGCATGCGCATCATGTGAACACATTCATGATATCGCTTCAATAATTTGACTATTTTCAAGAATGATTCTAAAATAAGGAAATTAATTTAGTAGTGGGAGATTATAACTGCGGTTGGAGCAATTAAGTTATTGGCTATAAAACACATGCACTCGTTCATAAACAAGGAACTCGAAGCACTTCTCGTCCCTTGTTTATGAATTCGTGCATGTGTGTAAAACCGGATAACGCACTCGCAGAATGCTTTAATCCAATACCACATCGCAGACGATAAAGCTGAAAGACATTGCAGACAATTTGACCAAGTGATTCAAGAACCCACTCGAGTGACTCGACTAACTGAATCATCAATATCAAGCACATTGATTGACCTTGCATTTACGAATAGACCAAAAATGTCAGGTGTCGAACATCTATGTAACAATAAGCGATGCTCTGATTTTGAGACCGACCACCAAACCGTATTCTTTTCAAAAAAGCGGCGTTCGGTCGTATTATCATTTTATGGTCAGCAATCGCAACAACAACATAACAATCAAACGATTAAAATCAATTGAATAATGCATGACTTGGAGAGGGCACATAATTATATGTGTTTGCTAGCCAATAAATTAACTCATAACACGGAGAAACTGAGTATAATTATGATAATACATATAGGCTCCCGGCAAAGCTTATATAAAATCAAAGTCAGAAAGTCAAAAAGATTAGGAATTGTCGTTCAGGATCAACTTTTGTGAAAAAAATCATATAGATGCAATTGTTTCCAAGGTTTCTAACTGAGGAATTGGCCGTCTAACAAGACGTATGAAAGATTATATGCAAATGAGTAATTTGGTGCAAGTTTATAATGATACCCCTTCTCGGGTATTCGACAGTTGTAAACAATTATTGGATGAAAACAAAAAAAGCAATTCTCATGTAGAAAAAGTAAGAAACAACTGCACAAATGAAGCAATAGCTCAGATGTTTGAAGTAGGGGATAACCATGCAGTTTCATAATTTGAGAAGAAACAGCATTAACTTTTAAATTCCCAAGCCTAAAACTAACTTCACGAAAAAGAGCATAAGTTACTCCATTAAATGTTGTAAAAACTGAAGGACTATTGTTACAGGACTAACAATGTGGGCAGCACAACATTGGTCATCCTGTCAGTCATATCAGTATTCCATCAACCTGATCGTTTTTAGGCGTGTAGGATTCGATGAGGGTTTCGAGTATAAATATACTTTATATAGGACTACGTGCTACATAAAGCATGTGCTGAGCAAACTGAATAATGTCGAGGGCCTACCTCGCTTCCAAGTTTTTGGTTCACTTGCCGTAATGCAAAGTATAGTAGTAACCAGATTTTTCATCAGCTGTGTAAAGTGACCATGATGAATACAGCATTGTTATGTCGAACTTCTGTGTTCGAAATATAAGCTAAGCTTAATAGTTGCAATGAACATGTGTGTATCGCGCGCATATAGGTTAATCTATTTTGCAGTTTATTTACTGATTTATTAAATTACCAAAAATACTTTGTGCCGTGAACTAATTTGTGGAATCTTTCTAATTATTGCAGTTTGTACTTGGAACATGAGAAACAACGCCCGAAGACAAATACATCGCTGGTCACATGCAAAGAAACGACAATATTTTCTCATCTTCGCTGTTACTGCAGCAATCTGTAATGTCTTCTGGCTACTTTATGTCTTCCACCCGAAATTTGATCGATATGTAACGGAAGCATTTGAGATCAGAAATGTCACATTTACGTCATCGTTATGCCCCGAAATGAGAAGCCTTCACAATATTGATGATATAGAACAAGATATGACGTGTCAACCACGTCCACCTTCTAAAAAATCTTGTGAATATACTGCTGAACATTTTAAAATATTGCATTCTAATTTAATTTGCAAAGATCAAGATGAACCATCCTATAATCTCTGCTATCTGTCAAATACTATTATGGACCAATCAAATGAAGGGAAAGTAACATGTGACCTCTCGATTTGCGATATTGATAAATATCTTATAATAGAAGAAATCAACATGTCGAATGGAAATATGAGGGGTCAAAAAGTGGAAAAAAACAAACGAGATTCGAAAACTTTTGCAAATCTTGTAAAGGCCGCTCTAATACGAGCAAGAGAAAACAACGTTAACTTCATATTTTTAAACTGCATAAGGAAAGGGAAAAACAGAACAATCTCACAAATGATTAGCATTTTGCCAAAGTTGCAATATCCTAAACCTGATGAACCTAAACCTCTTGGGGGAAAACTTAATTTGAATGTTTTATTACTAGACTCGATTTCCAGAGCACACTTTTACCGTTCATTTCCGAAGACCATTGAATATTTGCGAACAAAACGAGACAACAGAAAACCAAAATCAGCGTCATTCTTCGAGTTTCAGCTTTTTCAAGGCATTCATACAAATACACACGAAACAGAGAAAGGTTTTTTTACTGGTGAACTGTACCCAATGAATTATACCCATAAACAAAAAGCAACTGAAACATCACACCCAAATGTCCTCTTCGGTATTATGAAAAACGCTGGATATCAAACGATGTATCTAGAAGATATGTGTCACACATGGCTAAATGGTCTCCTATCCACTTTACACGTGAGAGGATGGGAGCCTTTGAGAAAAAAAATTGATAACTCCAATATTGACACAATCGGTGAGTGCACTGGATCATATGCTGATATTAGTGTCATAATAAACAATTATGGGATGAGGTTTTTGGGATATGCAGAGTTCGGCTCGGATGATAACGCTTACCTCGACCTTGACTCTGCATATCACAAAAACCGAATTCAATAATTGTTTTATTATACATTTGAAAAATAGTAAACATAGTATTAACGAATGAAAAACCTTATTTAAGAGCAACATCTAAAAATACATCAATTATTAATACATAAATACATTTAAATGAATACCGCTTGTTAACCACCGCAGGCTCACTTGGATATAACTCAGTTATCTGCTAGCAGATAAATGAATTTTGCGTGATTGCGCGATTTATCTGTCAACTATTAGCCAATCAAATTGCTTAACTGCTATAATGTATAATAATTATATTTATTATACGGTTGGGGTATTTTACTGAGAACTAAAGCATTCGTATAACTCATACGCCACTACATCCGAGGAATAGTGCGGATATTTTCCGTACCGTAATTACTCGAATTACGCCTCCCTCGAATAAACGCCGCCCTCGAATAAACGCCGCAGAGACAAACAAAAATATCATTAAACGCCGCCCTCAAATAAACGCCGCAACCTTTTCGTCATTGCGGAATTTATTCGAAGCATTTATTTATAACCACTGTAAGAAATTCAAGTATTTATCTTTACAAAAAAAGACAACATTGAATCTAAACCAGTAGTGGAAATTTATTTTTCTCAATTTGAATGTTATTCAGTTCAAAGTGGTTATATTTCATAGCTTTGCTGCTCAGCTATTTCTCCAAAACTTCTGCGATGCGTAATTCCGTGGTAACAGCCGAGAATCTTGCCGATACCACCACAGGTAGCCCGCTATTGGATTTGCTTTTAGTTAAATATTAAATACATTCTATACAAAATAACATGAAGTGTCGCCGTCCTTCATTCACTGCTGACATATTAACGCAGGCGGCAATTCGTGCGGTGCAGTGCAACCTTTATGTATATATTAATATAAGGTTGGCAACTCTTTGTCGTATTTTCACATTTACGAATTACATACACAAATTACACATGAAAGTACTCGTACTTAAACACAAAAATATACACAAAAAACTAAATCTATGTGGGAACTGACTCTCCTAAAACATTTCCGAAACATTTGTTTGTCTTTAAAGCCATTACAAATATGTGAAATTTACGAAAATACAAACACTTTTTGGTTGAATTTTTTGAAAAGCCGTCGGGATCCCATTACCCTGCCCTACGTCACAGCAAACACGCAATATGATTGGCTTAGTTTTGAATTTTGAAATTTGTTTACGTTAACGGGACTCAACCAGCCAATCATATTGCTTAGTTTTGAATTTTGAAATTTGTTTACGTTAACGGGACTCAACCAGCCAATCATATTGCGTGTTTGCTGTGACGTAGGGCAGGGTAATGGGATCCCGACGGCTTTTCAAAAAATTCAACCAAAAAGTGTTTGTATTTTCGTAAATTTCACATATTTGTAATGGCTTTAAAGACAAACAAATGTTTCGGAAATGTTTTAGGAGAGTCAGTTCCCACATAGATTTAGTTTTTTGTGTATACTTTTGTGTTTAAGTACGAGTATTTTCATGTGTAATTTGTGTATGTAATTCGTAAATGTGAAAATACGACAAAAAGTAGCCAACCTTATATTAATATATACATAAAGGTTACACTGCACCGCAAAAATTGGCGCCTGCGATAATATGTCAGCAGTGAATGAAGGACGGCGACACTTCATGTCATTTTGTATAGAATGTATTTAATATTTAACTAAAAGCAAATCCAATAGCGGGCTACCTGTGATACCACTAGATTGTATTGGTTAAATTAGCGTTTAAATTACACAATAACTTCAGAGTTGTCACGAGTTTGCAATAAACGCCTCCTTTGAATAAACGCCGCCCTCGAATAAACGCCACATCTTAATTGCTAAAAATTTAATAAAAGCCGCGGCGTTTATTCGAGTAATTACGGTATGTCACGTTTGGGATTGAGATAGCGAGTTTCGAAAATTTTCCCTCAATTTCCATTGTTGTTTTTTTTGTGAAAATACAAATGGTTTTTGCTTCGTATATAAAACGAAATTAACGTTAAATACATTTAAACATTTAAAAGACATCTTTAGATAAGTAAATTTGTCCTACTTAAATGTTTAAGTTACAATTTAAAAAATATTCGCTTTTAGTGCAAATATTTTCTGTGTCGGTATATCCATTTAAATTATGCAAAGATTGGAGCAATTGATTGTTTAAGCCCTCGAGGTCTTGTCTTAGTTGTTTTGCTCTATTAATTTCGCTTCGAAGCTCTTCTTTTAATTCGCCTATTTCGAAAAGTTCCGGCGTCGCTTCTGCTAAAACATATTTGCCCTTATTTGAGTTCACAGGTACTTTCACGGTTGTGTTACCTATACAGGATGTCTCAAAAAAAACGTAACCACTTAAATATGCAAGAACATTAATACAGCCCCGGCGCACACTAGAGCTATCGGTGCTTAGCAAAAAGTCATTCGTGGCCATTGGCGTAAACCAGTTGCTCTCGTGTGCGGGCGACTTTTCAGGCGACTTTGGTCATTCGTGCCACTTACGGCAAATATCTAGCATGTTTGATAATTTCTGCCTCGCGCGCCAAAATCTTTCCGTGTGCGGCAAACTGAAAGCTATCTGCTTATGGATTGTCTTAACAGCGCATGCGTCATAAACAAAAGTAAACATCAAAAAGAGCGGTGCAAACAAAGCCAAACGAATTGGTGGCTGATCATGAGGCCAAATTGGAAGACAAACTGGTTGATCTTTGGTCAAAATACAGTTGTTTATATGATGTGAACTCTGCAGATTTCAGAAACAGAGAGAAACGGGAATGCGCTTTGCAGAAATAGCTAGTGAGCTCTCTCCAACAGGTAATATAATTAATAGCACTTGGATAACGGTGTTTAGTCTAGTCCTACGCAATAGCAACAAAAATAACAACACCTCTTCGTCTTCATTTTCATCAATAATTTTGTTTTTGCAATCTGTACGCCATCTTGGATGTTTACATTCGTATATTACGCATGCGCTGTTAAGACAATCCATAAGCAGATAGCTTTCAGTTTGCCGCACACAGAAAGATTTCGGCACGCGAGGCAGAAATTATCAAACATGCTAGATATTTGCTGTAAGTGGAACGAATGACCAAAGTCGCCGGAAAAGTCGCCCGCACACGAGAGCAACTGGCTTACGCCAATGGCCACGAATGACTTTTTGCTTAGCACATAGCTCTAGTGTGCGCCGGCCTTAAAGCGCAATGGATAAGCACCTCTGGAAATTGAAAATGGCTCTTAATCCTTTATTCAAAATGCTAAAAGTCATTTTACCCGAACTATGGTTGCGTTTTTTTTGAGACACCCTGTATACCTACCTCACAATCACACGATCGAATATCGCTGATTTATTCAGCCATTTTAGTTACATCTCCGTACTCCAGATTAATAACTGGGTAATTTTTCAAAAAAAACAAACAATTCATTGAAAAAATCCATTGTCTTTTCAAAAAACAATATCTCGACAACTTTAGAGCGAATTATATAAAAGGGTGTTTTATGCGAAGTTTTAAAGTAATGTTTAACTCGAATATAATTTCCCCATATTTTTGCATTCTTCGTTGTTCTCGGTACAGCATTTTCTTTAAAATCACTCTTTTTCACTGTGTCACTTTCATCTGTCATAATTGCGTAACAACCCGAGGTTGCTCGACGAATCACAGGGAAGAATTCTGAATAATCACCTCCGTTTCAATACGAAAAATTTTCGTCAGTGAAAAATTCACAATTTTTTATTTTCAGGCATCACATACTCCTCTTGCAAGATTGTTTTATCAGCAAACCCTGGAAGGCGACATCAATTTCGTGCAAATAAACATAATCAATTGTGTTACAATGGAAAACACTTTCATCAATATCACCTGGATTTTTTAACTCGCTACATCAAGGCAGTGGAAAGCAGGCGCGGATCTAGGGGTAGGCAACATAGTCAAGTGACTATGGTAAATTATCCAGATAATTATTATTCCATTCCCGTAGTATTTCCGTGATATAATTGTCTGATATTGATCTAGTATAATTTCCTATTTTGAATATTTTCTTACCTCTCAGTTCTGATGCATGCTGATGAACCCTAATATGGGGTGAAAGTTAGGTGTGTAATTTTGTCAATAACCAACACAGTATTATAATCATGTATGAATGGTGTCATGAAGTTTTGACTAATTAAGGTATGAAAAATCCTAGATCTCCGTCTAGTGGAAAGCACTCCAAAAAGCAAACCACTCTTCTCATACACAAATCTGCGGGTGTCTCATGATGACGTTGGTCTTCGAGTGCAAACTGTGGATCAACATCTTTTGGAATTCATTGAAGATATGTCCCAGAAAGAAAATACGCTGACATTCGTTCTTTCTGACCATGGAAACACGTACACTCGTTATCAAAGACATAATAGAATAATAGATGGAAGACTTGAAATTAGTCATCCTTTCTTATTGGGCATCATTCCGTACAATGTCGGTCAAATATTAGGAAAAGAAATTTTAGACAATCTAAAAATAAACCAGCATCGTTTGTTGAATATTTTAGATTTGAGAGCTGGGTTAATCGAACTTTCAAAATATAATGGAGAAGCCAAGTTACGTCCTGCAGGTTTGCTAGGAAAGATTTCAAAATACAGAACTTGCAATGACATGAAATTCACACGATCCGTTATTTGTATTTGCAACGGTTGGTATCTCCCAGTGAAGCTTTCCGCAGAACAGATAATCATTGCAGAGTTTGCTCTTGGTAAATTGAACAACATGATTCAAGATTCAATGACGAGCTCCAGGATAGAAACTAAAACTTCAAACGCTCCACATTTCTTCTTTGGCCATTGTCAACGATTACAAAGAAGATCAATTATAAACATGATACGTCGGAAATCAGGTAAAGGAAAAATATCTGAAACAATGGATATTCTTGTGCAGTCAAGTCACCTCATAAAACAAAACGAGCTTTTCAAGGTTTCTATCGAGTATAATTCAGATTCCAAAGAATCGTTCGAGATCAAATTACTGGATTATAAGAGGTTGTCAACCTTTGGTATATACGAGCAATGTGCTGATCCGAACGTTGAACTTCAGCTGTGCATATGCAACAACAAATCTCTTGCGCAAAACTTTACAATGACATCAAATTTTGATTTAGTGCGAATCAAAAAGCATCCAATATATGACATAGTTGGTAAATCAGCTGAAATTGAGGTACGTGAGTCTTGCATTCTTCTAATTCAACGATTCATTTCTGATGCAAATATTCCAAGAAATCTTCGTCAAGCAATAAGAATATATGACGTAGCAAACGTTTGCGATGACAAAACGTTTAGCGTCCACGTTAATGAAACAAATTCAAAGAGTATTTCAACAGCGAAGCTTCCAATCACTATGATCATTCCTCCACGAACATTATACTTTGTGACCGCACTCAAATCATTAGAGGTGTCTTATAAACCGAAGATAGACTGGATTATAAACGTTGTTCGCCCTTAATTGCGTCAGGTTAGAATTGTTTTGCCCTATATGTCCACTTCTTGATGAATTTCAAAAAATATTATTTTGCTAGTGTTAGCATTATTTAGTTTTATCTCCGTCAATATTTAGTTCTATCTCCATAATTTTTATTATCATTCACTTTATCGTATTCTCAATTTTGATTGGTTAATTTGCCTGCAGTTAACTGGGTGTTAAAAAACGTTGCACAGCTGCAAATAATACTCTGACGTGCACATTCATATCAATTTTGTAAAAAGTGGCGACGTGCTTTACCGAACTATCCGTTATCCGAACAAATTAACTTTAAACATTAGCAAAACTGAGTATATGCTTATTGGATCAAGACAAAGGCTGTCCCAAGTGCCGATCCAATCTTTTCACGGGGATTGGAGGGTATTAACCCTGTTTCATCAACCAAAACACTATGCGTAGTAGTACTGAGATGAATGCATCACCTGGAAAGACCATGTTGATAAAGGGAGGAAAAAGCTGCAAAAGGGATAGGAATATTGGGTTGATCTAAACACTTATTCAATAAAGATACGCTTAAAACCATTTATAATGCTTTTATGTTTTACCTCATTTTATAATTGTGCGCTGTTATGGAATAATTGTTCGAAAACCTTGCAACCAAAATTTCAAAAGTTTCAAAACAAAGCTGTTCGAATAATTAGAGGTGAGTGCTATAGAACTCCCTCTGATATTGTTAGAACTAAGCTTTCATGGGACACCCTAGAGGCTCGGAGAGAAATCAGTTTGAAAATTTAATGACACAAATAATGAAAGGTAATTCAGATAATTACCTCAGTGATCTTTTTACAATCCGTACCAACCAAACGTATAAATTGAGAAATATTCTCCGAACTTGCCCAAGCCAAACACCAATGCTTTAAAACGCATGCGTTAACATAGTATTCACATTTTGTAAATAATTAATATTTTTATTGTTCCTCTTTTAATGTCTTTTAACTTTGTTAAGACACGGCAATCTAAAAATTAACCTTTTTTTACATGTGTCTTAAATTTTATTATAGATAATGTATAGTCAGGTTTTTATCTGATTGGTTGAGATGCTACCGTGTATAAATATTTGCCGGTAAATAAATAAATAAAGCAGAATTGTCTTAATTATGCGAAGATAAAAATGCAGAAATCATGCAGCAACCAATGTTTTGTTAGTTAAACGAACCAGGTTTTTATTATCAGATTATATTTTTGTGTAAGCTATATAAACGAGTTTTCTTGGTTAAATAAAATATTGAGTCAAAAATTCCATGTACGTGTCTCCATAGTAATATTTTGCTATTCTGCTTGCCACAAATCACAATATTTTGCTGGAACTCGTCCAATAATAATCGTCCCCTAAGTGTAGGGTAGTTTTTACTAAATTTGTACTTCGTTTTTTTGCAATGAAACGCGATTAAAAAATGAAAACATGCGAAAAGTTTGTTGAAATTTTCCGTGTCCCGATGCGGAATGCTTGTTGCCGTGCAAAAACATCAATTTCAAAACTCGTATACGCGATCTTATTGGTCATAACAAAACGGTCAAAGCTGCATGACCAATAGGATCGCGTATGCGACTTTGAAATTGATGTTTTTGCACGGCAGCAGGCATCCCGCATCGGGACACGGCAAATTTAAACAAACTTTTCGCATATTTTCATTTTTTAATCGCGTTTCATTGCTAAAAAACGACATACAAATTTATTAAAACTACCCAACACGTAGGGGCTTATTTTTTTGGCGTATTTTATTTCAAGTTGACTCATTTAAGAGAGATGTAACAGTGTTATTTAAATTTGACTTATCCACCGTTTAAGCTAAACGGGCTTGATACAAACGGCCCCTGACGTAATTATATACTGTATGCGTGACCCGAGTGACGTACGTAATGCAGCGCGCGGTCAAAATATATTGAGACTGGCAAGAGTGTCTTGTTTCATCAAAAACCTGATTGTTGGGCTACCTATGATAAAACACAAGTTTCGCAATTGGTCTATTGAAAGGCGAAAAAAGGCGAAAAACGGCGTAAAAAATCCAAACTATACGAAGTTTTTAAGGTATGTTTTTTATTTTTAACAGTCTTTTAGCGTTTTCCAGAAAGGTTTTCACACATTTTAGCCGTACATTGCTTTGGTTTTGTCGTTTTGTTTACATTTTTCACAGCGGGTCGGATGCTGCATTTCAAAGAGGGCCGGATGCAAAATTCCGCTGTGAAACGCTTCTCAGCCATTCAGATTACTTCATTTACACAGTAAAAATACATAAGAGATGCCGGCGGAGGAGGCTAGTTACAATGCAATGCAAATAGTTATCTTGTTTCTAAATCACTTCAGTTTTGATTCCATAATACCAAGCGACTCGTTGTATATAAGGTAAGAAAATCATAACTTGATAATCTATAAACAGGTTTTTAATGCGCATGGGAGTCGAGGTATTATATGGGTCAGAATCTGGGTACATAACCATGCAAATTTAACCATTAATATATGTATCGACGCATGCGTGATGACTCATTGACGCAGTTGTATTCAAAATGGCGGATGAAGTTGATCAAGTTGTTCTACGTGCGGTAAGTGCCTAAAAATTTACATATTGAATTAGCATATTCATTGCTGGATTGAATGAAAATCATGGGTCTACAGTCTCCAGTTTAATTAATCTAACAAGTCTTAGTAAAGCCTACACATGTATAAATTAGTACATAGAAGAGATATCTTTGATGTGATTTTTTCCAAATAAAACACTTATATGAAAAATACATAAATAATGAGTAAAATTCCAAGCCAATTATCGAAACGTTTTTTTATATTTGTTACAAACCCGTTAGAGCTTAGAGAGTAGTATCTCAATCGCTTGAAAATCGCATTAGCGTGAAACTCTGAGTAGCGATTTGTAAATATTATTAAGCAATAAATAAATATTTCTGCTCTGTTACTTTGTTATCATCGAGCACTCTTCATATTAACAACAAAATTGCATTTTTATTTATTTATTTATATATATATATATATATATATATATATATATATATATATATATATATATATATATGTATATATATGAGTATGCACTTTGGAATAAATGAAAAATATAACCATCACACGTTCACAGTGTTACCTCGTGTAAATCGAGATCGCAAGATTGTAAATGGCATATCTGGGGATTCGTTAGTAGTCATTACGGAGTATCCATAGTTTATACCTGAAAAAATTATCATAAATTTGTTGTGAGAACTAATATCGAGTAGGCTGCTTTATTCTTGTGCGCAGGATATACTGTACAATATATTCATTCGTTTGATGTGGTTTATATTTCACTTATCACGATTTCATAGTATTAATAACCATTTTACAGTTTTCCATAAGCCATAACAAAAAAGATCTCGTCAAAATTATGGCGAATTCTGGTGCTTTTACACCCAAGATATATAAGGGTTTTAAAATTGGTTTTCAATTATATGATATCGCGCGTTAGCAAAAATTAAAAGAATAGTCATTAACAAGAGAGCTTACCATGCTGACAAAAAATAAGGAATATACCAGGAAGAAGAGTGGGATGTCTTCCAGACTTTTTCGTGCATGGATTCTCAAACGTTTGCTTTCCTTTGTCTGCAGCGTATGTCCCTCTGCCACGAACAGGTTTTAGGGAAGGGAAGTTTGCTAACAGCGAGGAAGGATTTACAACAGAATCATCCTGCGGTGCTTCACGATCTTTGAAAGCATTGTCAGCAATATTGAGCAGGTCGGTCAACAAAGGTATGAATTCTGCAGGTGCAAATGAATCACTTAAAGATGAGAAAATGCCAAATAAAGCAGGACACTTTCTTTGCAACAATTCCATATCACTCGGAAATTCTTTAACAGGCACACTTCTTTTAATTTTGTCACAAACACGTCGTAATTCTTCATCAAGAGGGAGAATAGCACAAATAGGGGTATTACAGGAAATGTCCTTTATGAACTTTGAAATACCAATCGGAAAAGCGGCTTCATTACCATAAATCGCAAGGCACCAGTCCAGAAAATTTGCCAGGGACGGTATACTTTGGTGTAATTCGGATTGAAGTGCATTTAGCTCATTTATATCAATTGCGGATACATCTGTACAAACTCTCTTCAGTGATTTTCTTGTATCCTTCGATTTCACAAAAACTCTGTTACTGTGCCTGGTAAAAAAACAAACAAAACAAATTCAAAGTATGATTTCATTATATTCTTAACATTTTTTTGCAATTAAATTTTATCAGCTTGATAATACTTATCTTCCATGACCGGATTGTGCCGTTGTAGTAGTGCACTGATGGGATGTGTAGAGTTGAACATAAGTTCTTTCTATATGCCAAGCTTGTACCGTCACATATGATAATTTCGGGATCACTTTTGCACGTTGGGCATTCAAAACCATCTGTGAAATCAATGTCCAGAAGTTGCAAGAACGCATACCATGCTGATCGCCAATGGTTATATTTTAGCGTATCGTTTAAATTGATGTTCAAAGAAGACTCTAGAGACAACGCCCATGACTGGTAATACGTATTCATGGATACACTGTAAACAAAATACGTCATTAAGCTAAATTGATCTACATGTACAAGGCTGCTTGGTAACTTTTTGTCAAACGTTCGGAAGAACACGAGCACTTTTAATCTTCACCAACCAATGATATGATGTGAAGTTTATTAAGAGCGAGCTGGGGAGATGATACAATTCTTAAAATACGCTTTTAAAATGTTAATGTAAATCTAAGATGTAGATTTAACAATCCTATTACCTAAAATAACAATTAAGCATATCAATGACTAACCCTCCTTTCAAAAACAAGAACATGTATTCCCTTAGAACTTCATAGGATATTAGGTAATTCCCCATGTTCAGTACGGTGTAAGCATAACCATCAAACTTCATATCATTCACGCAATTTTCCCCGGAGCATGGCCGTTTGTAAACTATAAAAAAGACATTAACGATAATACCCTTCTTTCCAAAGACGTCAATCATGTCTTTATAGTAGCAAATACAAAAAAAGAAACTCGGAAGTTGAAGCTTTTTCTCTTTGAAATTTCTGAGGCAGCCTAATTATGTAATTTCACTGAGAAGAAATAAGAAACCATGTTGCGTATATTCTTGAAACAAATCCCGAAAAATGCCATAAACCATTTTACTTCCTCGATCGCATGGCAACATGCATTAGGCTTAAATTTCCATGTACGCTCATGCTCAAAGCAATCAGTTTACATGTATTGGTTTTGATTATTGCTTGCATAAATATTAATAATTCAAACTTAAACTGAAAACTTTGTAAATGATATTAGAATAACAAGATAAAGAACAAATTGTAATCAATACTAGCATACCTAAACAGTCAAAGATTTTCCTCTTTCCGTACAATTTGACAGATTTAATATACCAAGATTCTTTGTCTCTCGAATCTTCATCTCTAAAATTATTCCCACATAACTGACATGGTTCATCATTTAGGGCCGGAAAAGGGGGGAAAAGAGCTAAAAACATCTTTCCTTCATCGTCCATAACTTCCGGGAGAACACATTCTGGTCCATTTTGGAAAGAGCGACGTTGACAGCCAAAAAGATCGAAGGGTATCTTCCTCGAGGATACTGGAGAAATCAAACTATTCCCGGAATAGCCTGTAGCAACATCCTGTTCCAGAAAGTCGACGAGGAGCTCAGGAATGTCAGGATCATCCATCGGCCATTGCTTTACAAGCATAACATGTTCACATTGAGATGAGGAACATGGTATACATTTAACTGAGCCATCACGTTGCTTCGCAAGTACACCAATACTGTCATTCATCTGAATACCAAACAGGTTTGTGGTACTCTACAGATATAATTATAAAACGTTACTCAGTCAAGGAACTGAAGGAAGATACCTTTATTGGCTTTATAATATCATACTGATAATAATTATATAAATAAATACATAATTTGTACAACAGAATTAGATGTAGAAAGAAAACATAAAAATTACTTTAATTACCTTATATGTATGGTCATTCATTGAACTTTCTTTTTCTTGTTCTTCTGGAGTAATTCCATGTTGTGAGTCATAATCCAGAAGTAAGTGACATATTGCTTTTATGTGAATACACACTGAATTACGGAGATCTAAATTAAGTTAAACCAAGATTTTGTCTGCAATGCACTACACACAAATGTGAATTCCTCACTAAATCCAGACTAACCATATTCAAAATATCATTATAGAATAAAACTTATTATTAGTGTCATGCGAGGATGGAGTCGGGGGAGGGGTTGGGTTGGAGAAAATGGGTAACTACCATGACATTTTCTGGAAATTATTTGCATTCAGTTTGCTGGGGCATTAAGAAAAAAACACTTATACTCACAGATATATAAAGATTTATAAAAATGTGTACTCATTTTTACAGATCAGCTTACTGGAAGAGGTAGATATAGGCTGTTTTCACAATCTCAAGGATAAAAATTTTGACCCTATGAGCCTAAACATTACATACCAGGACCTAAACATCACTGAACACCTCTATATCTTACAAATTTACTAACAATGCATCCAGATATACTTTTTCCCCTGACCAATAAAACTATCTGATGCCATTGAGTAGCAACAATTGCCACTCCTTGACATCATATTATTTTATTGCACACCTAAAAATCACCATGTTGATGCACATTGTTAAAAACAGGAGTGATCTATGTTGTGCTGCTGCATCCTGCGAACAGTATTGTTAACAATGTTGTTGAAACTTGTTGAGATATCAATGCTGTTGCAACTTGTCACAACAACATTGCATCAACACTGATGATTCAACAAGGTTCAACAACATTAACAATACTGTTTATAGAGTGCAGCGCAACATTGTTTATCCCTGATGCAACATATGGCTGTATATGTTGTGTACTCACGGGATGGTTCCTGCTGTAATAACTTTGACAATCCAGAGAGCAGTTGACTCCTTCTAGGTGAGCATGAACAGCTGTATAGCCAATCATACTGATTGGTAGGTAGTAGCAGCCAGACACTTCTGTGTACCACAATGAAGTTCATTTCCTTCAGCACAATAATTGGTAGTTATTTTGTAATTAATCATTATTGCCAGCGATGTTGCAAACTCTCTTATTCTCTAACAGTATACATATTGTAATAACTAATAAGTAAATACAGGTTTAATTATATATCATCCAGTATTGAAATATGAACTATAAGTATTAAGCAAGATAAAGAGCTTTGTTCTCTCAATGAAGATGCTAATGATCAGCAACACTTGCCTTATTTCATTGCATTGTGCTCTTACCTTTATTCGTTTACTTTCGACGTTAAAGTCGGGCAATTGCGCATTTGGTTACTACAGTTACCATCTCTAACCTAGAAAGCTCAGTAGCATAGGCAATTTCCACATTTGCTTCAGTGTTTTGCACCAGCGATGAATGAGGAGGTTGACAATCAATAACGACTTCTGGCGTTGTATTTTCATCGTACTGATCACATGAAAATTGTGGTTGAGAATCTGAATGACACTCCGACTCCGTCAGGGAAATATTTGTGGAAGATGTAGACCGATCTTCACGAACCATTTGCGAGGTACTTATCCGATGTGGAGCTCGGACTTTTGACTGATCTTTAGCAAGATTCTCTCCAAATATATATTTCCTCTTACCATTTATAACAACAGTTTTCCAAGGCTTCGTCCTTTTTCTCTTCGAACTTTCCGCCATCTTGGTTAGGTCCTGCTGCGCCTGCTTGATCACTGGTCTGCGGTAGATGCCAATGCAGGCGATTAATTTGCATGGTTATGTACCCAGATTCTGACCCATATAATACCATGATACATGAGAGTCTCCTCATCACCAAACTTAAGCCTTCTCTTAATGTTCAAGGCGACTCTATGCCTCTCAATTCATTTTAGTCCTTACTTCGTATTGTCATCGTGTCGTGACGTCTCTGTCCCTTGTCCTCTTATGTACTGTTCCTCACTTTGTCCTTGTTATCACCCTTTGTAAATTGATACCTTGTAATTATATTACTCATTTAGTCTGAAGATGTCTTAAGTTAAGACGAAACGTTACTACCAAATATATTTTTATTACTCTCAAATGGTCTAAATTGTCTTTTATGGCTTTACTGAAAGCACTGTGTTGGGCTTTAAAATTTATATTTCGAATACGCTTCCCGACCGGCACGTCTCTGGCAACAGGTCAATTATTATTTACAAAAGTGGGTTATTATATTTACAAAATAGGGTCAAGTATATTTACAAGTTGAAAATGGTATTAAAATGCTGTATATATAGGATAACAACCTCATGGTCGGTCTTTCATTGAAATTCAAGACCGAGGCGCGCAGCGCCGAGGTCTTGAATTTCAATGAAAGACCGACCATGAGGTTGTTATGTTGTTTATATACCGACCACACCCATTCTCTATTGTTCTCAAGAGGTTTTGCAGGGTTTTTGACAGTTTTTGTTTGTTATTTGTCAAGCGATAAGCGTGCGAGTGATCAACGTTCAATTTCGATCATTAGGTAAATGCATGAGGGTTTACGTAAAGCGCACACAATGGATTACCTTATTTGTCTATTTGAGATGTTTTGTTTCGGCCATTTAAGAGGGAGTGGTGCAGCTTTTGTAGGTGTAAAGTGATGAAGAAGTAATGGAGTCCGGCGATTCGGATCCAGAAATGTATATTACCCAGTCAAGTACACAGCGAGAAAGATCTTTCCCTGTACTTGATGATTTGTACCAGGATACAATTGCGCCAGATGAATATATGTGGCCTTTTGTTGGGGAAATAAAGGAAGTCGAAGAGCAACCAAGTGTAACGGATTTGGATCGCTTTGGCAAGCCAGTATGTGAGACAGAAGTTCGGGCAAAGATAGATGATTGTGTGCCAAAATCAACAAGATACAAGGATAAGTGGGCTGTTACGTTGTTTGAGAATTGGCGAGAACAAAGGAACATAAAAGTTCGCAGAGTAAACGAAAGAAGTGTTGATGATGGGGATTGTGGCTTAGAAGTTATAGAAAATTCCGTTGACGTGATGTCTGACGATGAACTAAATCGGACATTGGCATGTTTCATTTGCGAAGTCAGGAAAAGTGATGGAAGTAAATACCTCCAAACACACTTTATGGGATAATTGCGGCAATTCAACATTTTTTGAAAGGGAAGGGAAAACAAGTGAGGTTATTGAACGACGACAAATTCGAGTATTTGCGAAATGCATTGGACGCTGTGATGAAAGAAAGTGCGTCGGCAGGTCTTGGACTTACAAGAAAACAAGGCGAGGTAATAACATTGAGAGAAGAAGAACAGCTTTGGGAGAAAGGGGTTCTCGGTGATTCGCAGCCACAACAACTACTTGACACTTTAGTGTACCTTTTTGGCATTCATTTTGCGTTGAGAGGGGGCAATGAACACAGAAGACTTCGAGCAGATAATTCGCAAATTATAAAAGGCGTTGACAAGGAAACCGGCTTACATTACTTAGAATACCGGGAAGACGTTTCAAAAACAAACGCTGGGGGAATCAAAGACCGAAAATTGAAAAGAAAAGTGACACGAGCATACGAGAATAAAGAAAATAAAGAAACGGTGTATTGTTCGTTTGTACGACAAGTATGTCAGTTTGTGGTAGGTATATTATATTTGCTATTCAATTTATAATAGTAATTAGGAAATAACTCAAGCGTAATTTTAATGCTAATGTGTTTATATATTATTTTGTTTTTATATATATATATAGCCCTAGTGTTGGCGCTGAGAGTTCGACGGCATTTTATCGTACTGCTCTGAAATGTCCGAAGCCGAATTGCTGGTACAGCAGTGTACCTGTGGGGCATAATAAACTGGCTTCAACTGTTAAACGATTATGCGAGCTGGCGGGTCTTTCTGGCTACAGAACGAATCATTCTCTACGAGCAACAGCAGCAACTAGGATGTACGATAAGGGGGTTGATGAGCAGCTTATATGTGAAAAGACAGGTAAATCACACGAGAAAATATAAAAACGTATAAATGATTTTTTAAATTGTGTAAGAACTCGTGACTGTTTTTAATTGTCAATTTTAGGTCATCGAAGCGATGCTGTGAGAGCCTACAAGAGAACTTCAAGTGAACAGCAAGTTGAAGTGTCTGATATTTTGTACGGTGTTCATGCAAGTACGTCCAAGAAAATTAAGGAAGAAGAACGATGTGAGACTAAAGACAAGGGATGTGTGGAAAATAAAAAAGGCGAAAATGAGAGTTCAAACGCAAGGATCAGTGGTGATAAGTCTTCGATAAACATAAATTTCAGTTTTATTGTGAATTAAATAATTTTTAAGTTGTTGTGTGGTCGTGTGTATGTTACGTATAGTTTAAGCGTGTGTATGTTATCAACATTTAAGTAAATTTTTGTTGTGTTCCCTGCGTTTGGATATTTTATGGGTATTTTTGAGTTCAGCTAATACCAAGTTTTGATTCGTAAAAGTACAAGTTTTGAATTGAATTTCAAGACCTGAACTGGGTCTTGAATTTGAATGTAAGACCCGTACCGGGTTTTACATTTTCAGCCCCGCTCTCCCCTCTAGAAATCAAAAACCGCGCCCAGCTTTCAGAACGAGGTCTTGAGTGGGAAACCAAAACCGATTTAGAACAATAGAAAATGGGTGTGGTCGGTATATAATTGCGTATTAAGATCTGGTTTGGGTTTTTCTGATGTAGAGAGCTTCTTGCCTTCTTTGAGTTTGAGAGAGAACTGAGATTGTGCATGATCTAGTACGCGGAAGCAGGATTCAGTGTATGCAGCTTTGCATTGTGGTGAATTGTGGAGATATTTGTATACGTGCGAGTTCTTATCAGAGGTGGTGTGTTCCTTAATGCGTGTAATTAAATGACGAGTGGTTTCGTCAACATAACGGGCATTACATCCCGCACATGAAAATTCACACAGGCTACTGTTGAATTTCCTAAGCTTCACTTCACATAACTACAAGACGCGACTAATAAAAACGCTTATTGACCGTACACGCAAAAATCAACAACACATCTATTGGTTACCCGTTATGTTGGCGAAACCACTCGTCATTAGGAGCACACCACCTCTGATAAGAACTCGCACGTATACAAATATCTCCACAATTCACCACAATGCAAAGCTGCATACACTGAATCCTGCTTTCGCGTACTAGACCATGCACAATCTATAACTCAAAGAAGCTCTCTACGTCAAAAAACTCAAACCAGATCTCAGTAAGCAAATACAGCATTTTAATACCATTTTCAACTTGTAAATATACTCGACCCTATTTTGTAAATAATTATAATAACACACTAGCTTTTGTAAATAATAGTTGACACATGTATTTGTTATTGTAATCTGATATTTGTATCATATGTCACAACTTTATTGTATCACACATCCTGCTGTAAATATTTTTAGCTCACTTCGCACTCAAGATGGCTTAGCTTAAGCTGAAACATGTTTGCTATCAAAAATTTAGTCGTTTACCTCAAATGTTAAAATGTTGATGTTTTAATCTCTGTCCCTGCTGACACACCGCACTACAGGCGACAACGGTACAGGTAGCCCGTAAATATCGTAACAAGAAGCAATTAACACGCGTCAAGTCTCTTGTTTTTCTGAGCTTCCTCTGTAGATATTTTATTCCGGCTCAAAAATTATTGAGCAATTAAAGCGAATCCTTGCCCTGAACTTTTACCCACTTAGGGTACGCCTATCCCCTCACCCGTGTTTTATTTCCTCACCCGTGTTTTTTTCCCTTATCGATATCCGTGTTTTATCCCACCTCCGTATCCGTCTCGTATGTATCCGCGTTTTGTCCCTACCCGTTCACGGTGAGCCGTGAACCCCAAAGGGCAGACAACAATGAACATTTCTCATTGATCTTTCCCGATGTATGGGAATTTTGGCCGTGAAAATTGAAGCATGAAATGTAAACTGGTTAAAAACATGTAGAGTTTTCTTTTAAATGTGACTTAAAGTTTGCCGCTTTCGGTCACCAGTTTGCCGTCAACCTCCATTTTAATGTCTTTATTTCACAAGTCTTACATCGGAAAAGCCCTGTAACGTTCCTGTAGCGTCATCCACGAATCATGAATAATAATAGAGAGTTCAGTGAAATCATTGAAACAATTAAAATGCCACGTTACAATGCATGTTTCTAAATCACTTCAGTTTGTCATTCTAAAATACCAAGCCACTCATTACTCTCTTTCGATAAATTTTACATTCAACCAGAGACGAGGGGAAGCAATTTATTATAAACAAGAATATATATATATATAAGGTAAGAAAATCATAACTTGATAATCTATAAATAGGTTTTCAATGTGCATAGGAGTCAATATTGTGAACAAATTACACCGTTAAGGCGCGATGAAAAGACTACACTCTACAGTAAAATCATGTTAAGAATATACTACAACACTACCGCATCGTGTAAACACATTCATGGTATCGCTTCAATGATTTGACTATTTTCAAGAATGATTCTGAGAATAAGGAAATTAATTTAGTAGTGGGAGATTATAACTGCGGTTGGAGCATGCAGTTAAGTTATTGACTATAAAACACATGCACTCGTTCATAAACAAGGAACTCGAAGCACTTCTCGTCCCTTGTTTATGAATGAGTGCGTGTAAAACCGGATAACGCACTCGCAGAGTGCTTTTAATCCAATGCCACATTACAGACGATAAAGCTGAAAGACATTGCGGACAATTTGACAAAGTGATTCAAGAACCCACTCGAGTGACTCGACTAACTGAATCATCAATATCAAGCACATTGATTGACCTTGCATTCACGAATAGACCAAAAATGTCAAAATGTCAGGTGTCGAACATCTATGTAACAATAAGCGATGCTCTGATTTTGAGACCGAGGGGAAATATTTTTCTATCTGGACCGACCACCAAACCGTATTCTTTACAAAAAAGCGGCGTTCGGTCGTATTATCATTGTGTGGTCAGCAATGGCAACAACAACATAACAATTAAATGATTAAAATCAATTAAATAATGCATGACTTGAAGAGGGCACATAATTATAGGTGTTCGCTAGCCAATAAATTAACTCATAACACGGAGAAACTGAGTATAATTATGATAATACATATAGGCTCCCGGCAAAGCTTGTATAAAATCAAAGTCAGAAAGTCAAAGCGATTAGGAATTGTCGTTCAGGATCAACTTTTGTGAAAAAAACCATATAGATGCAATTCTTTCCAAGGTTTCTAACTGAGGAATTGGCCGTCTAACAAGACGTATGAAAGATTATATGCAAATGAGTAATTTGGTGCAAGTTTATAATGATACCCCTTCTCGGGTATTCGACAGTTGTAAACAATTATTAGATGAAAACAAAAAAAGCAATTCTCATGTAGAAAAAGTAAGAAACAACTGCACAAAAAAATGAAGCAATAGCTCAGATGTTTGAAGTAGGGGATAACCATGCAGTTTCATAATTTGAGAAGAAACAGCATTAACTTTTAAATTCCCAAGTCTAAAACTAATTTCACAAAAAAGAGCATAAGTCGTTCCATTATATCACTGTTATAAAAACGGAAAGACTATTGTTACAGGACTAACAATGTGGGCAGCACAACATTGCTCATCCTGTCAGTCATATCAGTATTCCATCAACCTGATCGTTTTTAGGCGTGTAGGATTCGATGAGGGTTTCGAGTATAAATATATTTTATATAGGTCTACGTGCTTTATATAAGGCATATGCTGTGCAAACTGAATAATGTCGAGGGCCTACTTCGCTTCCAAGTTTTTGGTTCACTTGCCGTAATGCAAAGTATAGTAGTAACCAGATTTTTCATCAGCTGTGTAAAGTGACCATGATGAATACAGCATTGTTATGTCGAACTTCTGTGTTCGAAATATAAGCTAAGCTTAATAGTTGCAATAAACATTGTGTGTATCGCGCGCATATAGGTTAATCTATTTTGCAGTTTATTTACTGATTTATTAAATTACCAAAAATACTTTGTGCCGTGAACTAATTTGTGGAATCTTTCTAATTATTGTAGTTTGTACTTGGAACATGAGAAACAACGCCCGAAGACAAATACCTCGCTGGTCACATGCAAAGAAACGACAATATTTTCTCATCTTCGCTGTTACTGCAGCAATCTGTAATGTCCTTTGGCTACTTTATGTCTTCCACCCGAAATTTGATCAATATGTAACGGAAGCATTTGAGATCAGAAATGTCACATTTACGTCATCGTTATGCCCCGAAATGAGAAGCCTTCACAATATTGATGATATAGAACAAGATATGACGTGTCAACCACGTCCACCTTCTAAAAAATCTTGTGAATATACTGCTGAACATTTTAAAATATTGCATTCTAATTTAATTTGCAAAGATCAAGATGAACCATCCTATAATCTCTGCTATCTGTCAAATACTATTATGGACCAATCAAATGAAGGGAAAGTAACATGTGACCTCTCGATTTGCGATATTGATAAATATCTAATAATAGAAGAGCTCGACCTGTCGAATGGAAATATGAGGGGTCAAAAAGTGGAAAAAAACAAACGAGATTCGAAAACTTTTGCAAATCTTGTAAAGGCCGCTCTAATACGAGCAAGAGAAAACAACGTTAATTTCATATTTTTAAACTGCATAAGGAAAGGGAAAAACAGAACAATCTCACAAATGATTAGCATTTTGCCAAAGTTGCAATATCTTAAACCTGATGAACCTAAACCTCTTGGGGGAAAACTTAATTTGAATGTTTTATTGCTTGACTCGATTTCAAGAGCACACTTTTACCGTTCATTTCCGAAGACGATTGAATATTTGCGAACAAAACGAGACAATAGAAAACCAAAATCAGCGTCATTCTTCGAGTTTCAGCTTTTTCAAGGTATTCATACAAATACACACGAAACAGAGAAAGGTTTTTTTACTGGTGAACTGTACCCAATGAATTATACCCATAAACAAAAAGCAACTGAAACATCACACCCAAATGTCCTCTTTGGTATTATGAAAAACGCTGGATATCAAACGATGTATCTAGAAGATATGTGTCACACATGGCCAAATGGTCTCCTATCCACTTTACACGTGAGAGGATGGAAACCTTTGAGAAAAAAAATTGATAACTCCAATATTGACACAATCGGTGAGTGCACTGGATCATATGCTGATATCAGTGTCATAATAAACAATTATGGGATGAGGTTTTTGTGATATGCAGAGTTCGGCTCGGATGATAACGCTTACCTCGACCTTGACTCTTCATATCACAAAAACCGAATTCAATAATTGTTTTATTATACATTTGAAAAATAGTAAACATAGTATTAACGAATGAAAAACCTTATTTAAGAGCAACATCTAAAAATACATCAATTATTAATACATAAATACATTTAAATGAATACCGCTTGTTAACCACCGCAGGCTCACTTGGATATAACTCAGTTATCTGCTAGCAGATAAATGAATTTTGCGTGATTGCGCGATTTATCTGTCAACTATTAGCCAATCAAATTGCTTTACTGCTATAATGTATAATAATTATATTTATTATACGGTTGGGGTATTTTACTGAGAACTAAAGCATTCGTATAACTCATACGCCACTACATCCGAGGAATAGTGCGGATATTTTCCGTACCGTAATTACTCGAATTACGCCTCCCTCGAATAAACGCCGCCCTCGAATAAACGCCGCAGAGACAAACAAAAATATCATTAAACGCCGCCCTCAAATAAACGCCGCAACCTTTTCGTCATTGCGGAATTTATTCGAAGCATTTATTTATAACCACTGTAAGAAATTCAAGTATTTATCTTTACAAAAAAAGACAACATTGAATCTAAACCAGTAGTGGAAATTTATTTTTCTCAATTTGAATGTTATTCAGTTCAAAGTGGTTATATTTCATAGCTTTGCTGCTCAGCTATTTCTCCAAAACTTCTGCGATGCGTAATTCCGTGGTAACAGCCGAGAATCTTGCCGATACCACCACAGGTAGCCTGCTATTGGATTTGCTTTTAGTTAAATATTAAATACATTCTATACAAAATGACATGAAGTGTCGCCGTCCTTCATTCACTGCTGACATATTAACGCAGGCGGCAATTCGTGCGGTGCAGTGCAACCTTTATGTATATTAATATAAGGTTGGCAACTCTTTGTCGTATTTTCACATTTACGAATTACATACACAAATTACACATGAAAGTACTCGTACTTAAACACAAAATATACACAAAAACTAAATCTATGTGGGAACTGACTCTCCTAAAACATTTCCGAAACATTTGCTTGTCTTTAAAGCCATTACAAATATGTGAAATTTACGAAAATACAAACACTTTTTGGTTGAATTTTTTGAAAAGCCGTCGGGATCCCATTACCTGCCCTACGTCACAGCAAACACGCAATATGATTGGCTTAGTTTTGAATTTTGAAATTTGTTTACGTTAACGGGACTCAACCAGCCAATCATATTGCTTAGTTTTGAATTTTGAAATTTGTTTACGTTAACGGGACTCAACCAGCCAATCATATTGCGTGTTTGCTGTGACGTAGGGCAGGGTAATGGGATCCCGACGGCTTTTCAAAAAATTCAACCAAAAAGTGTTTGTATTTTCGTAAATTTCACATATTTGTAATGGCTTTAAAGACAAACAAATGTTTCGGAAATGTTTTAGGAGAGTCAGTTCCCACATAGATTTAGTTTTTTGTGTATATTTTTGTGTTTAAGTACGAGTATTTTCATGTGTAATTTGTGTATGTAATTCGTAAATGTGAAAATACGACAAAGAGTAGCCAACCTTATATTAATATATACATAAAGGTTACACTGCATCGCAAAAATTGGCGCCTGCGATAATATGTCAGCAGTGAATGAAGGACGGCGACACTTCATGTCATTTTGTATAGAATGTATTTAATATTTAACTAAAAGCAAATCCAATAGCGGGCTACCTGTGATACCACTAGATTGTATTGGTTAAATTAGCGTTTAAATTACACAATAAATTCAGAGTTGTCACGAGTTTGCAATAAACGCCTCCTTTGAATAAACGCCGCCCTCGAATAAACGCCGCATCTTAATTGCTAAAAATTTAATAAAAGCCGCGGCGTTTATTCGAGTAATTACGGTATGTCACGTTTGGGATTGAGATAGCGAGTTTCGAAAATTTTCCCTCAATTTCCATTTTTGTTTTTTTTGTGAAAATACAAATGGTTTTTGCTTCGTATATAAAACAAAATTAACGTTAAATACATTTAAACATTTAAAAGACATCTTTAGATAAGTAAATTTGTCCTACTTAAATGTTTAAGTTACAATTTAAAAAATATTCGCTTTTAGTGCAAATATTTTCTGTGTCGGTATATCCATTTAAATTATGCAAAGATTGGAGCAATTGATTGTTTAAGCCCTCGAGGTCTTGTCTTAGTTGTTTTGCTCTATTAATTTCGCTTCGAAGCTCTTCTTTTAATTCGCCTATTTCGAAAAGTTCCGGCGTCGCTTCTGCTAAAACATATTTGCCCTTATTTGAGTTCACAGGTACTTTCACGGTTGTGTTACCTATACAGAGTGACTCAAAAAAAACGTAACCACTTAAATATGCAAGAACATTAATACAGCCCCGGCGCACACTAGAGCTATCGGTGCTTAGCAAAAAGTCATTCGTGGCCATTGGCGTAAACCAGTTGCTCTCGTGTGCGGGCGACTTTTCAGGCGACTTTGGTCATTCGTGCCACTTACGGCAAATATCTAGCATGTTTGATAATTTCTGCCTCGCGCGCCAAAATCTTTCCGTGTGCGGCAAACTGAAAGCTATCTGCTTATGGATTGTCTTAACAGCGCATGCGTCATAAACAAAAGTAAACATCAAAAAGAGCGGTGCAAACAAAGCCAAACGAATTGGTGGCTGATCATGAGGCCAACTTGGAAGACAAACTGGTTGATCTTTGGTCAAAATACAGTTGTTTATATGATGTGAACTCTGCAGATTTCAGAAACAGAGAGAAACGGGAATGCGCTTTGCAGAAATAGCTAGTGAGCTCTCTCCAACAGGTAATATAATTAATAGCACTTGGATAACGGTGTTTAGTCTAGTCCTACGCAATAGCAACAAAAATAACAACACCTCTTCGTCTTCATTTTCATCCATAATTTTGTTTTTGCAATCTGTACGCCATCTTGGATGTTTACATTCGTATATTACGCATGCGCTGTTAAGACAATCCATAAGCAGATAGCTTTCAGTTTGCCGCACACGGAAAGATTTCGGCACGCGAGGCAAAAATTATCAAACATGCTAGATATTTGCTGTAAGTGGCACGAATGACCAAAGTCGCCGGAAAAGTCACCCGCACAAGAGAGCAACTGGCTTACGCCAATGGCCACGAATGACTTTTTGCTTAGCACATAGCTCTAGTGTGCGCCGGCCTTAAAGCGCAATGGATAAGCACCTCTGGAAATTGAAAATGGCTCTTAATCCTTCATTCAAAATGCTAAAAGTCATTTTACCCGAACTATGGTTGCGTTTTTTTGGAGACACCCTGTATACCTACCTCACAATCACACGATCGAATATCGCTGATTTATTCAGCCATTTTAGTAACATCTCCGTACTCCAGATTAATAACTGGGTAATTTTTCAAAAAAAACAAACAATTCATTGTAAAAATCCATTGTCTTTTCAAAAAACAATATCTCGACAACTTTAGAGCGAATAAATTATATAAAAGGGTGTTTTATGCGAAGTTGTAACGTAGTGTTTACCTCGAATATAATTTCCCCATATTTTTGCATTGTTCGTTGTTCTCGGTAGAGCATTTTCTTTAAAATCACTCTTTTTCACTGTGTCACTTTCATCTGTCATAATTGCGTAACCAATGTTTTTCGACCAATCAGAGGGGAGAATTTTGAATAATCACCTCCGTTCAATACGAAATTTTGGTCAGTGAAAAATTCACAATTTTTTTATTTTCAGGCATCACATACTCCTCTTGCAAGATTGTTTTATCAGCAAACCCTGGAAGGCGACATCAATTTCGTGCAAATAAACATAATCAATTGTGCTACAATGGAAAACACTTTCATCAATATCACCTGGATTTTTTAACTCGCTATATCAAGGCAGTGGAAAGCAGGCGCGGATCTAGGGGTAGGCAACATAGTCAAGTGACTATGGTAAATTATCCAGATAATTATTATTCCATTCCCGTAGTATTTCCGTGATATAATTGTCTGATTTTGATCTAGTATAATTTCCTATTTTGAATATTTTCTTACCTCTCAGTTCTGATGCATGCTGATGAACCCTAATATGGGGTGAAAGTTAGGTGTAATTTTGTCAATAACCAACACAGTATTATCCTCATGTATGAATGGTGTCATGAAGTTTTGACTAATTAAGGTATGAAAAATCCTAGATCTCCGTCTGGTGGAAAGCACTCCAAAAAGCAAACCACTCTTCTCATACACAAATCTGCGGGTGTCTCATGATGACGTTGGTCTTCGAGTGCAAACTGTGGATCAACATCTTTTGGAATTCATTGAAGATATGTCCCAGAAAGAAAATACGCTGACATTCGTTCTTTCTGACCATGGAAACACGTACACTCGTTATCAAAGACATAATAAAATAATAGATGGAAGACTTGAAATTAGTCATCCTTTCTTATTGGGCATCATTCCGTACAATGTCGGTCAAATATTAGGAAAAGAAATTTTAGACAATCTAAAAATAAACCAGCATCGTTTGTTGAATATTTTAGATTTGAGAGCTGGGTTAATCGAACTTTCAAAATATAATGGAGAAGCCAAGTTACGTCCTGCAGGTTTGCTAGGAAATATTTCAAAATACAGAACTTGCAATGACCTGAAATTCACACGATCCGTTATTTGTATTTGCAACGGTTGGTATCTCCCAGTGAAGCTTTCCGCAGAACAGATAATCATTGCAGAGTTTGCTCTTGGTAAATTGAACAACATGATTCAAGATTCAATGACGAGCTCCAGGATAGAAAATAAAACTTCAAACGCTCCACATTTCTTCTTTGGCCATTGTCAACGATTACAAAGAAGATCAATTATAAACATGATACGTCGGAAATCAGGTAAAGGAAAAATATCTGAAACAATGGATATTCTTGTGCAGTCAAGTCACCTCATAAAACAAAACGAGGTTTTGAAGGTTTCTACCGAGTATAATTCAGATTCCAAAGAATCGTACGAGATCAAGTTAGTGGATTATAAGAGGTTGTCAACCTTTGGTATATACGAGCAATGTGCTGATCCAAACGTTGAACTTCAGCTGTGCATATGCAACAACAAATCTCTTGCGCAAAACTTTACAATGCCATCAAATGTTGATTTAGTGCGAACCAAAAAGCATCCAATATATGACATAGTCGGTAAATCAGCTGAAATTAAGGTACGTGAGTCTTGCATTCTTCTAATTCAACGATTCATTTCTGATGCAAATATTCCAGGAAATCTTCGTCAAGCAATACGAATATATGACGTAGCCAATGTTTGCAATGACAAAACTTTTAACGTCCACGTTAATGAAACAAATTCAAAGAGTATTTCAACGGCGAAGCTTCCAATGACTATGATCATTCCTCCACGAACATTATACTTTGTGACCGCACTCAAATCATTGGTTGTGTCTTATAAACCGAAGATAGACTTGATTATAAACGTTGTTCGCCCTTAATTGCGTCAGGTTAGAAGCATTTGATAAAGATACGCTTAAAACCATTTATAATGCTTTTGTTTTACCCCATTTTGATTATTGTTTGCTGGTATGGAATAATTGTTCCAAAACCTTGCAAATAAAATTTCAAAAGCTTCAAAAAAATTCAGATATTTACCTCAGTGACCTTTATACGATCCGTACCAGCCAAACGTATGAATTGAGAAGAATGCTCTACACTTGCCCAAGCCAAACACAAATGCTTTAAAACGCAGTTTTAGTTATAAAGGGCTGCAACTTGGAACAATATCGAAAAAAGAAAATAGAAATTTTAATGATGTTTTAGTTTCTCTTTTAATGTCTTTTAACTTTGTTAAGATACGGCCATCTAAAAATTAACGTTTTTATTTGTGCATGTGTCTTAAATTTTACTATGGTTAATGTATAATCAGGTTTTTTCTGATTGGTTGAGATGCTACTGTGTATAAATATTTGTAAATAAATAAAGTTGAATTATCTTAATTATGCGTAGATAAAAATGCAGAAATCAGCCATGTTTTGTTAGTTAAACGAACCAGGTTTTTATTATCAGATGATATTGTTGTGTAAGCTGTATAAACGAGTTTTCTTGGTTAAATAAAATATTGTGTGAAAAACTCCATCCACGTGTTTCCATAGTAATATTTTACAACGCACTTAAAATTGAAAGTTGAGTTGTGAATGATAAATCAATTATTCCACGGTTCCCCGAAAATATCGTGATTTGTCGGCTGCTTGCCACCAAAAAATCACAAAAATTTTGCTCGAAATCGTCCAATAATTGATTATTATCAGATACAAAATTAGAGCCAGTACTTTTTTGTTATATCTTCTTCTGGTAATAAACATTAATTATTAAAATGCCCTATGTTCATTGTCCAATTAAATGTCATAATTTTTGCTCGTCCCAGACTTCGCACAGTATTTCAGTTTGTGACTGCAAACAAGGCAGAAGAAGAACATGTGGATTTAATTTTCCACGGGTGAAGAGAGAGGATACGCCCAAAATTGCAATACTCTTTCTATAGATAACCACTATATTAATATTAATTTAAGGAATAGAAAACATTTACCGTGTTTCTATACAGTTATAGAAACACGCGTGGGAGTTTGGGAGAACGAGAAATAATCAGTGGGAAAACGACCCCGTAGGGCGAGGTTTCCATGTTATTTCGAGGTTCCCCAAATCCCACAAGTGTTTCTATGACTGTATGGAAAGACAGAGAAAAATGTTGAAAAAAAAATAATATAATGAAAAAACCTAATTGAAAAAAAAAAGTGTAATATTGATTGGCACACTGAAATATATTCCTGGGGTATAGCGCATGCGCAACAAATTTCCCAGCTGTTAAAATGTTTTTGTTTTAATTCCTGTTCCCGCTGACACACCACACTGCAGACGATAACGGTACAGGTAGCCCGTACATATCGTAACAAGAAGCAATTAACATGCGTCAAGTAGATATTTCATCCCGGCTCAAAACATATTGAGTAAATAAAGCGATTCCTTGTCTCAAACTTTTACCCACTTAGGGTACGCTTATTCTCTCACCGTGCTTCATCCCCTCATTAGCGTTTATTTTCTCATCCGTGTTTTATCCCCTCATCCGTATCCGTGTCGTCCGTATCAGCGTTTTATCCCAACCCGTTCACGTTCAGCCGCAAACCGAAAAGGACAGACTAAAGTGAACATTCCTCATTTAGCTTTCCTGATGTATGGAACTGATTTTGGCCCAATTGATTTGGCTGTGAAAACTAAAGCATGAAATGTGAACTGTTAAAAATCTGTAGGTTTTACTTTTAAATGTGACTTAAAGTTTGCCACTTTTGGTCACCGATTTGCCGTCAACGTCAATTTTAATGTCTTTATTGACAAATCTTACATCGGCAAAGCCCTGTAACGTTCCTGTATAACTTCTCTGTAACGTTCATCCATATAGGAATTATGATTATACTGAGCTCAGTGAAATAATTGAAATCAATTAAAATGCCACGTTACAACGCAATCACTCGTGATTCTAAAACACCAAGCGACTGATTACTTTGTTTCGAGAAATTTTTCATTCAATCAAAGACGAGAGTAAGGAATTACAATCATTTATTTTAATCAAGCATATAAGGTAAGAAGATCATAACTTGATAATCTAACCAAGTTTTTTTGTCTGCATGGAAGTCAAGAGGGTGAACAAATTACAACCTTAACGCGTTGAAAAGATTACACTCTACAGTAAAATCATGTTCGGAATTTACTACAACACTACCGTATCATGTTTCTAATCCATATGACCATATTGAAACTTGACTTCTTCGGAGTAAGACTGACTAAAGAGGTAGTAATTCTCGCTCCGTTTAGCTTTCGTGAATAGACCGATATTGTTTACTTGGCAAATGCAAAAGTATAATTAATTATTATGGTATTCAAGCAAATATATATTCTATACTTTTGCCCTCATGTTTTCTCTTCTGTCTTAACAAGCTACATGCAATATATTTATACATAATGAAATAGTAGTCAAATAGTTCAAATATTTAAACTGGGCTCATATTTCGACTTGCAACAAAGCACTCCGCTTTGTGCGTTCTCGAGTTTCTTGGAATAACGACTCGCTACTATTAATTGGGTAACAACCGTAACAATCTTCTTAATTCTTTGACTTTTCTGCAACTCAATTGAAATAACATTCAATAATGTGCCGGAATTAGCACGTTTACTAAAAATCGGATCTGTGCACGTGTTATTAAAGTATTAGATCTGTGTTATTAGATATTAGATTTTGGCGGGAATAGCATTGATGTAAAAGCCTTTAGTGGAGTTCGATTTAATTTAATTAGAGTTTATATGATAAAAGTATTCAAAGACATATAAACGGCAGAAAATCGTCACGTAGGTGGGGGGCTAATATTCATAATTTATGATCACGTTACATATTATTTCTTCCTTTTGAAATAGATTGACCGTCTGGTAACATGGCCTAATTTGAAGGGCTTCAAATTTGTCTTGATGAAACTATGCTATGATAGCTCAATTTCGAACGAAGAAATAATGATAAATGATATTATTATATACCACTTGTTAAAGTTTGGTGTTCGTAGCATTTCATTGGTCGACAGCGAATCATGCGAGAGTGACTTAACTCGTTGATGTCGCCAGTGCGACCCCCTGCGTGAGATAGAGTGAGGTAACGTTAACATGGGAAATAACAACTTTAATATTCGAGTGCGGCGCACCTGCATGGACGTGCGAAATTATCCATTTATCAGATACAAATTACAGCCAGTATTGTCCGTTATCCGTTTATCCATTTGAAATTATGTCTTTTATGAATAGATATTTCGTTGTTTACCTTGTAGTTTGGTTTTTCTTTGACAAGTGGTATATAATAAAAAACTTATTTCCCAAAAACTCAGAAAACAAACATAACGTTTCCTTTGTTCGCAAGAGCGAAATAAGTGTTAAATGTTGTTAGAAAGACAGAAATCGACATGGGGGTGGTTTTGCAATAATTAATAGACAGACATGAACTAATATAAATGGCCTATGAATAAAGAATTTGAAATAATCCGATTCTTTTCTTGTGAACACATGCATGGTATCGACTACCACATTCTCTCGTTCAATGTTTTGACTATTTTCAAGAATACATGACAAAAAATAAATTAATGAACTCTTAGAACAAGGAAATTAGCTTAGAGGGAGATTATAATTGGATTAGAGCAAGTTATTGACTATTAATATTCAGTTTTTGTAAACTTACGTTCTGATTGGTCGATTTGTACCACGTGAGTGAATTTTATTCCATTGTCAAAATGGTGGCAATTAATTCGGAAAAAATAAAAATTTGCCGAACTTAGCGAGGATGAAATTGAAAAGAATATAGATGATCCACAACTAAAAATATGGTGATAATTCCGTATTTATTGGCAAGAAAGTGTTATTTATTTAAGTCTTTATGTGTATTTATAAAAGTCTTTATGTGTCTACTCAAAATGAATATTAGGTCACTCTTTGTTCGTGCGTTATCGAATTTCAGGCGGCAAACGAGGCGAAGTTCAATACCTCACTTCTCCTTCCTTGTTTATGAACTTGTGCATGTAAAACCGGATAACGCACTCGCAGAGTGCTTTTAATCCAATACCACATCACAGACGATAAAGCTGAAAGACATTGCAGACAATCTGACCAAGTGATTCAAGAACCCACTCGACTAACTGATCAATATCAAGCACATTGTCATCAATCATCAATATCAAGCACATTGATTGACCTTGCATTTACGAATAGACCAGAAATTGTCAAAATATCAGGTGTCGAACATTTGAGGATAAGCCACCATGCTCAGATTTTGAGACCGAGGAAAAATATTTTTCTATCTGAACCGACCAAAACGTATAATTGTGTTTTCATATTATTGTGAAAGAGCAGTTATTTAGCTTTCCAATGACACCCTTCTTCAGTTTATACCAGTAAGAAATGATCAAATATTACTAAAAATGAAAATGAATGAAGACCAGCCTTGCCCAGGACTGACTTGATCCATCGAGCAATAGTGCATAACTTTACCGGGGCGGGAGGCTTACGGTAGCTAATTAGTAACTGATACGTACGGTTGAGAATGGGAGAGACAAGGGCGAAATTGACGTGTCTTTCCAGATAGTTCATTATTCTTAGGCTGCAATCCCAAATAGTCCAAACTGACCATCGAAACGACCGAAGAACGATGGTAGCGACTAGCGAGGAATAGCAGGCCACAAGTTTAAAACACACTTAAACAGCTAGGCGGATAAAGAGTGGGTGCTGACCCAACGCGAAGCCTTCAATTGGCGCCAGGACCCCAGACAAAGAAGATCGATACGTATTTATAGTCCAGTCTTCGAAACCCTCGCCGAATACCCAAGCAAGAAAGCTGGTTATGTTTGCCAAAGTAGGGAAAAGTGGATCAAGTTCCCCCCAGCTTCTGACACACGAACTATTCCATATTTCTAGGCGGAGTTATAAACTGCGCTTGCGTCTGACCTCCACGCTGCCAAAATAAGTCTGGAAACGTCCGAGCAAATGCCTCAAATGGAACCATCGTTCTCATCAACCCGAAACGACGAGGCAGAACTAGAACTGGAGTCCCCAGCCTCGCTTAAGGAAGAACCGTCCGAACTCGATGCACTCGAACATTCAAACTTAAAACGTTTCGACCTCTTCCCTTTCG